GGGTTTAGGGTTTAGGGAATTCTGTGCCACAAGGTCTTCAACATCGTGCCGGCATTTCAGTTCCTCTTCCGCGCGCGGGGGGGCCCAACACCAGAATCAAGGAAGCTGAGCATGCCGGTTGATAACCACTGCCATGAATACCGCGATGGGTAGCACTGCGAATGCTGATAAGTGAGTTCTGCTTCTTATCCGACACGAAGTTAGAATGATACTGCTGAACTAGATGTGCCATTCCTGCAAGACTGAAACAGTAATGAGGACTGTGACAGGTTTGACGTCAAGTTTTACGCATGGCCCTGCTAGACCCTAACCCCCGAAACCTCATTCGCAGGCAGGGCTTCTTAAGAATATAGGGTCCTGAATAATTACCTATGCTATTTTGGTGGTTCGTTAGTATAAATATAGTATAGTATACCCCAAAACCCTTCTCTTATTATTAAGTCCCCTATATTATTGATTTCTTTTCCATGTTGCGGAGCTTAAAACCCTAAGCCCTAAACCCAAAGTGTCGCTCCCAACAATAATCTCTTCAACGAGCCCGAAGCCCGAAGAGATAAAACTAAAACCATGAGCCCTGCACCCTGACATCGAAGCCCTGAACCCAAGCCTCAAACCAGAGCTTTAAGCCTAAAGCTTAAACCTTGCCGATGCTTTGGGTTCGGCTCCATCGTTATCCCGTGGAGAATTTCGAGGATTTGGAGGCTTTGGATTTAAGGTTGCGGGATACAGGCCCTAAGTCCAACCACCAAGTGGCTGAGAACCACCACCACGATCACGATCACGACCACGACCACGACCACGACCACTACCACTACCACTACGACAACGACTACCGCTGCTACTGCGCTGCTGCTACTGCTGCTGCCGCTACGACTGCTGCTGCCGCCGCTACGGCTGCTGCTGCGACGGCTATGGCTACGGTTCTTGCTGCCGCCACCGATCCCGAAAGGCCACTTGGTCCATAGGCTTTGCAGCTAAAGAACTGGGGTCCGAAGTAAGCCGGCGGCTGCGAAAAGTTGTCGACACCTGCAACTATACGCCGAACCCTCAACCCTTACATCTAGAGCCCAAATCGCTAAACCCGTCAAGCCATTAAGCCATGAACCCATAATGCTTAAATTCTGGGAATGAAGGGTAATCTATATAGGGGCTGCATAATGGTTTTCAACTAGTAACTAGTATGCCTTAGGGTTCCGAATATAATATAGGAAGCCCACAACATCCCAAATCCTGTTCTAATGATTAAGGCCCGTGTATGATATAACCCATATAGACTCCTTACATTGTAGCCCTTAAAGAAACCCTTAAAGGAACCCGATTCTAAGGACTATGGCCGCTCTATTTCAGGGTGCTCGCTAGGCTTTCAGTTGGTCCTATGTGATATTTGCTCCTCTTCGGAGAGTTGCTGCTAAGACCTGCATTTCCGCGATACTCTGTCTATGGCTCTTTATCGAAGCTTCGGTTTTTTGACAGAGACTGCGATTATGCTTCTCAAGGGCTCAATCCTGCAACCTCTCCTTCCTCGAGCTACTTGATGCTTGCAGAACCCCTAAGGAAAGTACCCGTAAACCCTAAGTTCTACACTGCATCCCTCCACCCTAAAATCCTAAACCCTAAACCCTAAAGGCCCTAAAGCCTAAACCCTAAAGCTTTTAATTGCAGCCGTACACTGCGAATCCGTGGTCCGAGGCTATTCGGGATGTTCGGCTTGTCACTCGACTCGGATTTTGCTTGCAGTTGACAGCTGCGGCTAACCCCTCACGCGAGGAAGCTGACACAAGCGCACCTTTGGTGGCTGCTACGAATATCGGGTTTAGAAGCTTAGTTCTAGGCCCTATAAGCCCTAAACCCTTTAAGCCAAAAAAACCCATTTTGCTGAACGGCCACAGCTGTTGCCGTTCGGGCGTCATGCTTCCCACGTGGAAGGTTAGCCGCGGCAATCCAAGGCCATCTGCAAATGCAGGTAGAAGACTGCATAAGTGAGGTACTGATTCTTGCCCAATTGAATATATAGGCATGTCCGCTCCTTCTTCCTGTCTCTCTATATCTGTATCTCTATATATATATATATATTTATACACATACTTGTGCATACACATGTATATATATATATACACATATATATATATATGTATATATATGTAAATGTACACATATATGTACATACATATTACATATACGTGTGTGTGTGTGTACACATGTGTATATATATATATATAGGTATATAAGTGTATATTTATTTATTTGCAGAAAACAACGAAATACAGGCGCGTGTCTCGCACATTGCCTGAAAGTACATTATTTTTGTATGTGGTCTGTGTATATACACACTATATCTGTGTGTATATATATATATATGCATATGTATCTTGCTGAAAGGTTAGAGAAGCGATAACTAACATATACAGATTGTACATGAATATATACATATATATATATATATGTACGTCTAACAGACTATATAGTCATGCAGTTTTGTTTTCGATGTGGTCTCGATTGTTTACTTCAGTTTGGCATGTTAATATCAACGTGCCTTTCGGTGCCCTTCAAGGCCCAATGCAAGCTGCAGTGTAGGGTTTAGGGCTTGAGGGCTTGTGTGATATGTCGAGGAATAGTCCTGGCAATCCGAATGCACAAGGCTATTGAGATCCGTGCCGGCTTTCGACGCTCCTTGCATAGGTTTTGATACCTTGGGTGTTATTTGCGAATAATTTGCACTTCTGTGAGCTGCGGCTTACGACTGAATATGCCACTCAAGCTTAACTGGATGATGAAACACGGATGAAGTTTTACCTCAAAGCTGCCAGGCTTGAGGGATCCCCCACCCACAAAAGCATCCACAGAACATGCACCCCCTTTTTATCCAAGAAGCACAACACATCTCGGCAAGTGCACAGCTGCTAGGCTTGAGGGATCCCCCACCCACATAAGCAACCACAAAAGACGCACCCCCTTTTTATCCAAGAAGCACAACAAATCTCGGGCAAGTGCACAGACGAAAAGCGCTCATCCAATTCTCCGGCCCAAGCCGCACCGAAAACAAATGCAGAAGGCGACAAAGATTGGGCCGAACAAGGGCGCTAAAGTATACAGGTTAAGGGTTTGGGGCTTAGGGCCTAAATATTGGGTTCGAGGGTTGAAGGGTTTGGACTCATGAGGCAATATAAGATCCCAACCCCGCTACACCCAGAGCCCCAAGCCTCTTGCACCTCAGCCCGTTGTACCCAAACCATATTCTACTTCTCGAAACTTTGTAAGCTTGACTTCAAATCCCAAAAACATAACCTTTGCATTTCTTCAGCTGGTTCGGGAATCAGTTTCTAACAGACCCCCCCCGTCCTCAAAACACCAATTCTAGCAAACAGGCAACTAGATTAACCCTCGGGTTTGTTGGAAGGAGCTTTGAACCCCGAAGGGGGGTTCATCTGAACTGTGGCCATCAATATGGCTGATGGTCAAAAACCCGGGACTGCCCATTATCATAGTGCTCATGCATGCAACGAACGGTCGAGCTGTTGTGAGCACAGACATTATGAACACATAAACAAGCCGTGTTCACAACCACAATGATGGCGGCAAAAGGAGAGCTTACACACCACACGCCAATATGAATATATAGATATACACACCTGAGCATGTATGTATGTACGTAGGTAGGTAGGTATATATGTTCATGAATACACATTTACAGATATATGCACGCATGCATGTATGTATGTATGTATGTATGTTTGTATGTATGTATTTATGCATGTGTCCACTTTATTTGCACATGCATATGTATTTGTTCGAGAAGCGAATAATCAGACTAGTCGGTCAATAACAGTATATATATATATAAAGAGTACATACAAATTGACATATATATATATATATATACACATATACAAGCGTATTAATTTGCTTGTGAAAAATTATCCATTACCAGAAGCAGCAGAACAATAGGAGTAGTCAGCATCTTTTGAACATATGGCTGAAGTAGAAACGATAAGAACAAGGGTAGTAGGCCGTTCTCAGTCATATCCTTCAAAACATACAGCTGAACTGGGGTGGTAGTCTCTGTCAACCGTTAGCATTCTGCAAGGTCTCCAGGTGCATGACGCAGAGCGCTGATGAGGGGGTCTTTGCCCACAGGAGAGTCCGCAGTGCACAAGGGTGTTCCAAGTTAAGGGGTTCATTGCTTTGCAGTATAGGGTCTGGTCTTTCGGGCTTTAGGCTTTGGTTTAGGGTTTAGGGTTTAGGGTTTTAGGGTTTAGGGTTTTAGGGTTTGGGGTTTAGGGTTTAGGGTTTAAGATTTGAGTTTAACAGATTTCCAACGTGCCGTACCTCAAGTGGGCTAGGTGGTTCAAGGAGGGCAGGGTTTGGTGCGATGCTTAATGATCATGCTGTACCTCTGGACAGTTTGTGCGTGTTTGTGCCCGTTCCTGCGTATGTGCCTGCAGGTGTACGTATCTTTGTCATGTCTTCGAGCTTATTCTTGCTGTACGTGTGGGTGTACCTGCTCGTGCATTTGACATGTGCTGACTTGGCATAATCCTCGTCTTATTCCTCGTGTTTTTTCCAAAGTGGAGTTCGTTCTCGTAAGTTTGTGTTTTTTTAACCGCAAGCAATATCGCACAAAAAAGGTGTGACTTATATCCCCAGCCTTACACCGTCAAGCCTCATCCTTCCAGAGTGTGGTCTGTGGCCTTTCCCAAGACCCCTCAACTGCAGTCTGTTGTAGCAGAAGAACGGCCATTATCAAGCATCAGAGTTGCCCTATCTCTTGCAAATCACAGCAAAGACAGCGCAGAGTTTTACTGTAAGCAGAAACCAGACATCAAGAAGAAAGCTGTTATCGTTATCTTTTGATTCTGCAGAAGCACCCTGCTCGCGGACTCATCGTGTGGAGGGATCTCGGGAGATATTGCCTAGCTCAAGCTTTTGCAGCAAGACTGAAATCTCTTAATTTTTGTGCTCCACACCAAACCTTAAACCCTCAACCCTAGCACTTTAACCCTTCACGCAGGTCCGTATTCAAGCTTCAACCTTAAACCCCAAACGCTCAGCCTTAGTGGAAGCTGCTGCATCTTGCTGTTAGCCAGCAGAGGTCTTATGCGAAGCCTTCAAGACTGCCGTAGGATTTGGGCGGAAGGGTGACGACGGTTCTGCCTGGAGGTGGCTAAACCATGGTAAGGAATGCACAACATTCAGAAGCAAATAAGAAACTGTTGGCAATACGAATAAGTATCATAAATTATCATCGGGATTTTGGTGCTGCAAGTCGGCATAAAGCTCCTTCACCAGGACTCAGCCTTAAATGGGATTTCGATTGCATGTCTTTTCAATGACAGTTTGCGGGGGCCATATTTGGAAACTTAATGATTAGAACAGGGTGTGGGATTATCTTTCATAGATAAAATGTCCTAAACCCTAAACCCTAAGTACTAAGTTCACGCCCGTGAAAATCAGTGTTTCGGGTCGGTGGCCTTTGGCCACACTGCGGCTATTCACTGGCCGCAGTACCACATTCCTGGAAAGCCTAACAGCAAGGTCTCAATAGTTAGAATAGGGTTTTGGGTATGTTGTGTTTCTCTTGGTAATTGGAGTTTAAGGTTTCGGATTTTGACAAGGACCCCGATGCCCTGAGCAAGACTCGTGCGACTACTAACGGTTGTTGTTCATGCTTCGTTTTTGTTCGAAGCCTTCTGTAGGATCCTAGATTAGCCGGTTTACCAAACCCTGTTACTCGAAGCGGCTCTATCACTTAAACTTAAACCCACGACCTCAGGTTTTAGGGTTTAGGGCCAATCCTTTTTCTTGCGCAATAGGTCCCCCGGGAGTTTCAGCCGTCGAACTTGCAGTATTGCTCTATGAATCTCAAAACAAGTACTGCGAGTGAGTCTTTCAAGTGGTGATGCTTGTTGTAGGTTACTGGTTTCCCTAGACCCTAAACCCTAAA